ATAAAATTGCATCTATTTCTTTCCTTGGGAAAGAAGTTCTTTCAATTTTTTACATAGGAACAGTTTCCAGTCCCGTGCATCATTTTCGAACTGATGCTGATTTTTTTTTTGAGCCCCAAAAATTTTTTTTGGATAAGTTCTGAATCGCCCTGTATACGAAATCAAAAATCGTTTCACTAGCAATAATAATACCTATCACAACTGGCATGTAATCTAAAACTATCCGACAAAAGAGGTGATCCAACAGCTATTAATCAAGAGCAGTAATTGCTGACATTTTTATGTAAACAGTGTATGCGTCGCTCCCGATTTCAGGAAACAATATCTAATCGATTGTATTTGATAACCCATTCAGCTGTCAATCATAGAAACAATTTTGCCGTTGTATTTGTCATGAAAATATTTAATTCTCGGCATACAATTAACGTCAACAATGCCAAATTTAATTAGAAAATCACTTAAAATGCAATGAAGTTGAATCTAGTTTGTTTTGTTGTTAAAACCTGCCAATCAGTCGTTGGGCTCCAGTCACTGACAGGTGAATTATGTAGGAGTGAGTGGGGTGCTCATTGATTTAATTTAGCAAACGTATTATTTTACGATGGCTTCATGAAAGCCGTTCCAGGTTTCGAATCGTTTTATCGATTGGTCTGTACTGTTTTATCCAATCCAGATGTGATGGTGACAACACTCATAAGTTCGGGAATCATACAAAAGGGGCATAACATAAAGTTTTCAAGACACAAAGTCCCAGAAAGCATTATTTTAACAAAATTGTTACATAACTTGGCTAAGGTCCTAACTTAACCTTCTGTAGATTTCAGTTGAAATATAAAATGTTTTTACACAATATATTTATACACAAATCAGTCAATATTAATTTATCAAATTGCTCATTCCATTTGTTACACAACGTAAGTGTTATACTAAAATGTTTATGTACCTAATTAAATTATTTTACGCATTAGTGCACAAAATATTTCGTTTTAGGCTTACGTTTTTACACAATATATTTATACACAAATCAGTCAATATTAATTTATCAAATTGCTCATTCCATTTGTTACACAACGTAAGTGTTATACTAAAATGTTTATGTACCTAATTAAATTATTTTACGCATTAGTGCACAAAATATTTCGTTTTACGCACTACTGGTTAATAGGGGAAAGTGGAAAGATCAATTTAGCGACGGAATTTAAGAAAACAAATTCACTTTATATGATCCATAATTAAATTAACACCCTGTATACTAGGTATAAAACTGAACGAACGGTATACAAAAAAAAATACGTGAATATGTGTCACTTATTTGATCAGAGCCAATTGTACATTTGATTATATATCCTACACACTAGTGCGTAAAGTATTTTACTTTACGCACAAATTCTTAAAATAATAAGATACTAAGGCAAGTTACATCTGGTGACATCTAATATGACAGCTGTCGATATCGTTATCGTCCAATTAAAATATAGTGTGCACTAGTGTGTAGAGCATTTATTTTACGCATAAATTGGAATAATTAGTAATCTGTTCTACATGCCAGTGCACTGAGTATTTCGCTTTACGCAGTAGTGTTTAAAAGAGACTACTAAGGCAAATGAGATTCAGTGACATCTAATTGTGGACACCCTTATCGTCAAACTAAAATATAGTCTGCACTAGTGCGTAGAATATTAATTTTACGCACTATTTGCAAAAAGTACAGCGCGCGTAAAGTTTTTATATGCCTAAAATAACAATTCTTAACTTGAACATCCGACTCTCTCAGGAAGTGGACGGATTTCAATCCATTTGTTGCCCAACATAAACTTAATAAATTAGAATAGTTATTTATACACCTAATTAAATTATTAATAGTTTATTTTACGCATCGTGCACGAAATATTTCGTTTTACGCACTACTAGTTGAAAGAGAATAAGACAAAGTAGGTAACATCAGATGACAGCTGTTAATACTGTCACTGTGTCAAACTACAATGCAGTATGCACTATTGCAGAATACATATTTTACGCATTAACACAAAAAAGTTATTAACACTTTTCTTCTTGGAAAAGAAGATATACAGGAATCACCTATATTTTATTATGGCAATCTATTATACGCACTAGTGCATTAAGTTTTTTATGCACTAGCGATTACTTAAAAGCGAGATCAAAAAATAATATGACAAATAACATCTTGCGATATTTAATATAACAGCTGTCAAATGCACTGTATGCAGAATATTTATTTTACGCGCTAGATACCATCTAGACACACACTAGTGATAAAGTGTTTCAGTTTACTCACTAGTGTTAAGAACGAAATAGGGCAGTGATGTAATTATTACACCCTGTATATGCAAATTCGTCCCGGGCGATCAACAGCGCGTAAAAACATTTTTAATAAGCAAATAGCCACGGCAAAATTTCCAACTCTTTGGAACCTTTTTATGTTGAAATTAATGTTTTCCATCAACCGTTTCCCCACGCGAAGTTATGTTCCTATAACTGAAAAGAGGCGACTATTTAAAGGATTTTAAGTAAATGTGATGTCCCACTAGATGCTAAAAGCAGCTGTTCAGATCCCCTATAGCTCTCCCGTTATTTATAATATAGTACTTTATTTTAATTGGGCGTTGGACAGCTTTAATAAATGATGAGATGTGAAGCAAACCTTTAACAAAAGTGACAAATATTTATAAAACATAAGCTGGCCAGCTTCTGCGATGTAACTTTGCTACTATTCTATAATGTATTATTTAAATCGAACCAATCGTAAAAAGATTCAAACATAAAGAATATTTAAAATATATCAATGATTACCTGTATAATCTCATTTTAGGCACTAGTGCGTAAAACGAAATACACTAATGTTTAAAATGAAATACTTTATGCCATAGTGAGTAAGTGAACTATTTTGTCTATTACTATCTGGACACTAGTGCGTAAAGTGAGATATATTATACACCGGTGCTTAAAACGAAGCACTTTATACATTAATGCGTAAAGTAAAATATTTTGTTTATTTCACACACTATGTACATTGGTGCTTAAAATGAAATTTTGTGCATTACATTCTACACCCTAGTGCATAAAATGATATACACTAGTGCTTAAAGTGAAGCACTTTATACACTATTGCATAAAATAAAATATTTTGTCTATTACGCACATTATGTACACTGGTGCTTAAAATGAAATTTTATGCATTACATTCTACACCCTAGTGCATAAAATAAACTATATTTTTATAATTATATATTAACACGTACTGAGTGATTTGAGATTTCTGTTGTATCTGATTCTCAGTTATATAATTACTATTGAAACAACTGCTTATTGCAGTAAATTCAATACTGTCGGCCAAACAACGTCCCACTATATTACAGCCACTATAAAACACTGCTAGAATGTGTGGTAACAATCTTTCAAGAAGAATATGGCTGTCGAATGACTGGGATAATACATGCAACGAATTCTATTTATTTGTGACAGTCTACAAATGGCAAAGCCCGTAAATAAATGCCCTTTATATAAGTTTAAGGAAGACGTACTTGGTCTCAAGGAAGTTTACTTATTCATCCCTTTCCTTCACTGTTTTTTTCACTTCTTAAATTAATTCGATATTTTAATCGAAAGTGACGCAAATATTAATCACGCATACGCAGTTCAGCTTCTGCAAAACTAAGAAATTAGCCGTCTCGGTAGAAGAAATGTTGCCATTAACATTCGTATTATATATAAGTAATTAAATTAGGGGAAAATAAACACTTACAATACGTTAATAATGGACACTTTATACACTAATGCGTAAATAAACTATTTTGCCTATTGTTGTATGACTGGGATAATATATGCAACGAAGTCTATTTATTTGTATCAGTGAATAAATGACAAAACCTGTAAATAAATGTTCTTTGTACAAGATTAATGAAGATGTATTTTATCTCAAAGTAGTTTACCTCTATTTTGTTTTCCTCTATTGTTTTTCCCTTTTCGAGATGTTGAACCGAAATGGTCAGTATAATTCTTTATTTTTCATATTTTACAATTATATGATGATACATTAATTAACATACTTCTGCAATTAAAAACTGACGTTGAACCAATGAAATTAAGCTATTAGTAGGCTCAAATTAACGCAAATTATATGATTTACCGAATGATTTTAATTGGGCGTAAATTGCTCTATGTAATTAATACGCGGGTTAAGTAGATCTTGTACATATTATTTACAAGGGAAAGGATTTACTGGAGTCAGTGTCTTAGAAAAAATGGGGATTTGTATAAAATTACGCTGGTCTCAGCGCCTTGGTGGATATTAAGCAGTCTTTAGAGCTTTAATTAGAAACAAATTGCAAAGTAGGCTAGTCATCATTGACTAAGCAAGCGGGAAATTCATAAACTTCTGTGTATTTAGGATCTTCGCATTATAAACTTTATAATATCATAAAATCTTTTTATTACAAGGTGTTGCTCAGATTCCAGTCTCTTCCGGAAAGTAAAACAAGAAGTTTATTAATATTTTAATTACGTAAATTATTTGCTCGCTGAATATTTAGGAAACAACATCGAACTTCTACAAGTCGTACTTTACTTTTATTACGGAAATTATAACTATGGTTATCATCCCTATCACAATTTAACCAAGTATTCTAGTTACACTCTGTATAACAGTAAAATTCCCTCCCTTTATTTTATCTCCACGGAAACCTCAAATTAAAACAATTACACGATAATGAATTTGCGTAAAGTAAATACATTACACGCCAGTGTGTGTGCATAGTGCGTAAAGTACACATTAGTGCGTGTCTAGTGCGTAAAGTAAATACGTTACACTATTGCGAAAAATAAATTGTTAAGTATATGAGAAATATTTCGGATCTATTAATTTTTGCTTTACTTAAACGTAGTACGTTTATAACTTGGACTTTCTCGTTTTGTATAACAATATCTCAGTAATCAGATTACGTTTTTCAAGTTTTGTGTTATTTGCTTTTGAAGTTTACTGTCGGGAAGTTGCGCGAGGATTTTTTGCAGCGGTACAGCTAAGAGAGTGTAAAAGCTGTATGCACCAAAGTAAACTTTGTCTCGCAAAG